TTTTCCAAAAAGTCGTTTGCTCCCACATTATGGACATCCAATAGATCAGAGAACATTTTATTTAAAACATAATTCACGTGTTTAAAAAAAAAATAATTACAACTTACTACATATATATACATATATATACATGTGGGCATACAGAGTCGAATGTGATAATTGTTAAATGTATAAATTATTTAATTTTTTTAATGGGCAATATATATTTTTTAATCGGTAATGACAACTAAACACTTATCATTTAATAGCTGTTCGCACATCTGTGCCGTGCCATACAGTGGGGAAAAAGGGCTCAAAACACGCGCATTGCAAATTTCGTGCCCTAATTGTTATAAAATTGATTTTATTACGGATATTAAGTTTTTTTTTCACCTTTAGAAAATTTACAATAGATATTACTTTACATTCGTATTACACGTTGCCAGCGCGCACGTGAATTTAGTCAATAAATTGTCTTCTGGAAGAACTTTATAAAAATTAATAGGATTTTTTTTTTTCTAATAAAATTTACCGATGAATCCTTCTTTCGTATGCTTTACACTTCAATGAAGTTATGCTATTAATTGTTGTAAAACATATTTACAGCCCAGAGCTTCATCCTAACGATAAATCTTACGTTAATCTAAAAATTTCTTTGATTTCCGTTGAAACATTTGAAAATCTTTACATTTGGACAGTTATCAAAATAAATTTCTTTTCGTTTTTACTCGAAACGAAGAGTTGTCGCTTATGTTAAATCATTAGCAGAAAATGTTAAACGTTAACATTGAAGTTACCTATAGCAGCATTTTAAAATGAACGTTAATTGTGAGTTTGTGCAGTTCCAACGTTAAAAATTCCATTCTGTTTCGATAGCATGGCGTCGAATTTTAATTTTAATTTTTCGTGCTATCGAAACGAAAATACATCGTTGCGTTTGTTAAGAATCTCTGTCTCAAGTACATGAAATGGTATATGGACTTTGGTGCAAAGTGTGTACATATGTAAGTTCCAGAAGGAGAAAAGAGAGATTCACTAAGATTTATATCGATCGCATCAGAGCGATAAGCTGGGTTAAATCACGTCCGTCTGTCTGTTTGGCTATGGGTATGTCCATTTGTTTGCGTTCAAACAGTAGTATCTTAGTTCTTGTGATATTTCAACCAAACTTGAACCTTTGTCGGCACCAGTCAGTTCGAACTATTGTAACATAACATATAGACTATTTGTTCAGATGGGTAATTTTAAGTCATAAAGACTTCAATAAATCATATGAAATTGTGATATTTGGCATTCTATTTAAGTATTGACAGTGAAAAGGGTAGGATTAAGGTATAAATTTTTTTCTTTTATTCACATTCATTTCACTTCCTGGGCCCATATCTTGAAAAATAACAATTGTTATTCAGTCTAATTGATTATAACAGTATTTTAACTTTAATATCTTCTTGTTTTCTAAAATATCTGCAGACCACAAATCTGTTATTCTTGGTCATTCACTATTGAATCGCGCTAAAAAAGTTATTACACCAATTATATTATTCTAATAAATAATAATAATAAATTTTTCGAAAAAGAGTTTAAACGCTAATTCTGGTCTTTAGAGATGAGTTCAAATTGTAGTATCTCCATATAAGGACTCTCCAGATTAGTTTTTTAGCATTCGCTTTATAGAAGGTCATATTTTATGGGCCTGAAGTGTTTGGTTGATCTACGTTTAATAAAAAGAAGTTCTGATCCAAAGAAGTTGGGATTTTTTCTATAAAAGAAGCTATTTCTGTATAAGAAGTTGAATTTAAAAGAATATAGAAAAAAGTATTAACGCGGGATCAATTGCAATATCATTTTTGTATGGCCCGTAATGTTGGACTCACTGGGAGACAAAAGTATTTTACACAGAGACATTTTGTACAAGCATCAATTATGCAACATATAAAATCAAGTCAAGATTACTCGACTTATAATTTTATCGCCCTAAAGCTTTTCTAATTACTTCATAAATACATGCAAGCTGGCGACTGTTCGCAAAAAAATTATTTTCTTACTACTCAAAGTTTTTCTCTAATACACGTGTTTTGAGTACTTTTTCCCCATTGTGCGCTGCCTCATTCATTTTTCGATTTAATTACACATATAAAGCAATTAACATACATACTTAATATGCACGTACTCAATTTTTAAACAATTAAAGGCATACAAGTTCTTATCAATGCTAGAGTAAAAAAAAAGAATGAACCAATATTTAATACTTAAAATATTTAAATTTAATTTCATTAAATACAATGAATCTTGAAATTTATTTTGCGCCTTAACTCATTCATTAAAGTAGGCATATGTATGTTTGTTTACATACATACATTTGTAATTAATTTTAGCACCTTAATTTATTCAGCAGATAGTCTATGGTCTCTACGATATTCTATTTTTATTATTTACATTTTAAAAGCGGCATTGGACTTGTGTTTTTAGTTGTACGTACTCGTACATATGTGTGTATGTCTCCTCGATGGCTGTCTGTAGAAATTTGCACTACAACATTTTAGCACTAAATTGCGTCATCCAATATTTGAAACACATTCGTATCATTTATTTCCACTCAGCGCTTTTATATACATACATACATATATATATATATGTATATTTTTTTCTACTTTTATTACCTTTATTTGAATGGCCTCTCTCTTTTTAAATATCACATATCACCCTTGCTGTTTTATTTACAAAATATTTTCTCATTCAGAAATTACTTGCCGTATTTGTTGAAGGGATTACCGGCACCGACGTGCCAGTAGGTGGGTACTTACTTATGTGAGGGCTTGCATGCTTTGCTGAAAGCTTATTTATATACACATGTCCATTTATTTACACATTTACATGTACACATGTGTATACACTTCTGTCAATTATTTGCCGATAAGTGTACAACTGCCACTGTGTCGTTTTTTGGAATTAAAAGGAATTATTTAATTTTAATTGTGTCTGCCAATTAATTATGTCTACACTGGGAAATTTTTTTTAATAGAAATTTTTGCTTTTAATAAAATCATAGAAATGGTAACTAGGTGTAATAATGTATTCTTACGGGAATATCTGAAATCATGTAGCTTTGTTGATCTCCTTATTAATAATGCTGTTTTGAATCTTAATGGCATTTTTGTCTGTGCAAGGCGTTATTGTACAGAATTCAGAGATTTTTACAAGTTTTCTGATAAACCGGTTTAATATCATCATATTGAGTCCGCTTAAAAATAATTGTTCGCTTTCGTTGATTCCCAATGCGGTTCTCGTTAAAGTCTTCCCCCTTATACTAGGCGAATAAAGCTTATAAATCCCTCCTCGCGGGTTAGTGTTCAAGAATTTGCACGCGGGAGGGCATGCTTGTCGTCCAAAAATCCAATAGTTCCCGCTACAGTTGGGTCTTTATGCCCGTACGACCCGAATTTTTTATCCGGCCAAGGACTCTCACACCCGCAATATACCCCAAAAATTATTTTGAGAAATATTTTTGCGGTTACAACAACAGCTTATAAATCTATTCACACTTCTAGCCGCAGCAAAATAGTAGAAATAATATGTAAAATTTCAAAAAATATTGTTAATTTTATTGTTCATTTTGTTGTTAATTTATCCTAACTTCATGACTAGGCAAATTGCGTACGCCACGCTGATCGTTCCCTTCGTTACAAAAGGGTAGGAGGAAGGCAGCCATTGGATCTTTTTCATTATTATCATTCAATTCTTATATTATATATTATATATAGTTTGTAGCCGCTGTATGCGTATTATTATTAAACTAGTACGAGTAAATAAGTTAAAATCCAGAAATGTTAGCTTAACATTATGTTAAATAATTATGTTATTAGCTACGTAAACATAGGCTTAAGATAAAATATACGTTTGAAGCGTTTGCGAAAAGACGAACTTCTCCCATTTTGAAATACTTATAACTTTTGCCTTCCATTTCACACTTTATCAATTTTACCAAGGAATATAAAATCATACTCAAAAAAATCTCAAGTATTCGTGCATGCGACCAATAAAGACGCCCACGTGCAGAACTCTCTTTTTTTTGCAGTGGCCGTGTTTATCTGATTTCGTTTTTAACCGATAAGAAATGCTATCGTTAATGTTAAAATATTAACAGATAATGTTAAACGTTAACATTGAAGTGTGCAGGCAACCATTTTAAAATTAACATAAACGCCGAATTTGTAACGTTTCGACATTAACAATTCGTAATTGTTTTGGCAGCCATGATATTAGTTTTGTTATAAGTTTTTAATGAGCGAAAGGCCTGGTTTGTCTTCTCATCAGACTTCTTATGCCAGGGATCGAACCAACGGATCCTGACTTAACAGGCGAGTGCTTCACCATTGCGCGAACATCAGCCATGTAATCTAATGTTGAAATATTCATTCATTATTCAATTCGTTATTAACCAACAGTTTCTTCGATAACATGGCGCCGAAGCGAAACAAAAAACCATTTCGTTAAGTTTATTTCTCATATTAACAAAACGTAAAAATATCGTTAAGCTAATTTTAATTAGTCAAGCAGTTCTGATATATATGTTTTTGGCTTATATTTGCATTAGCTTGCCTAAAATCTATTAAGCTCTAATGTACTTTTTCCCCAAGAAACACCTACAGTCCTCACCACAATTGGTCTTTTATTGCATCATACAAAATTTTTCAGTTTTTATGTTTTTTAACTATCAATAATTTTTACCGTGTAAATCTGGCGTCTGACTCAACTCATTATTGCATATGGAAATGAGCATAGATAAGTGTGGCGATAGCGCAACGGCGAGCGCATAAAACCGACACAACGCAACGCAACGCAACGCCATATACAAAATTTGCGCTGATAAGAGGCCAGCGACTGAATTAGCACAAAAAAGTTGAATGCTGAGAGGAAGCATCGTAATACGGCACAGATTGACAGAAAAAATGAACGAGTGAGTATAATGAATGAAAGTGTCGACATTAGCAGCACGATTGTGCGCGCGAATTAGTGTGTGTTTGTGTGAGTGCGCGCTCGTGCTACGACGGTAAGGCAATTCATTGGCTAACGCTAAACCGGCTCGCTATATTCTTATACGCGGCGCATCTTTACAACTTGAAGTGTATGCGAGCGCGCCAACGAAACCACCAGCCAATTTTCGCAACTGAAGACAAACCAAAATCGACAATTTGATCAGTCGCGTTTTAGACATAAAGTAAGTTAGAAGCAAAAAGTTTGTGTATAATACAACTGCTAAATAGAAAGAATAAAACTCTAAAATTATATACGGCGAAGGCGTTGGTGACAGTTGGTGGTATACGAGAAAACTAGAAGACATATTAGGGGCGCGGCAGCTGAGTTTAATAGGACTAGTGCACTCCTCTAAAAACTAAAAAATTAAAAATTGCTTTTAGAAATATTACGAACAAGTGTAAGCGCTCTCGCTCCACGGTCAATAAGAAATTGAAAAACTTAACTGAAATTGAAGACAGCGTCTTGACATTGACAACGGTGGCAGAAGCAGTGCAATTGCAATGAGTGGAAATTATCAGGAAAAAATACTGAAATTAAGAAGAATAGAGTCGAAAGTAGTGATCTACAGTTTGGGCTGAAGCGCGGCCAGACAGAGACCGTTGAGCCAGAAAATTTCGAGATTAAATGAAACGTGAAGAGTGAAAAACCAAGAGCAATAAACGCTACGCAGACAAATTTTTTATAAAAGACGCGCAAATTGAGGAGGCGCGTAGCAACAGCACAGCGAACACGTGATACGCCACACAGTAGGGGATCGAATACGAAACCGTGTCTGTAATATCCGGAACAAAAACAAAGTAAGAAACTAAGTCGAGCACAGACATACTAAGCAACATGCGAACGCTAATACCAAGGCCCGGTCGATGGTCAACAAGACGAGCAAAGCAGCCGGAACCAATTGAGTACAAAAACGATGGGGGACAACACAAAAAGTTACGTTTGCTGATAAGCGTTACACTTCACGTGCTAATAATCAGCGCGCTGACGCAAACCGCCAGAACAGCAGCCTCGCATCCTTTTGCCACAGATAGAGCACACTTTATCGCTAACCCCAATGCACAACAACTTTGGTCGCACGTGAATCGAACGTGCTTAGGGCATACTTGCAATCAAACGATCAATGAAGAACATCTTGAGCAGCTTACGCGTCATATTGATTGGTCAGTGAACGCTTGTGAAGATTTCCACAAACATGCATGTGGCAAATGGCAGACGCCAAGAGGTCAACCAAATGCTGTGAACATGATGCTGGTTGCCGATGATGCGCTGACTACGCGTTTTGTTGAGTTATTCGAAAGTGCGTTGACTAAAAGACATGCACTGTGGCGCAGTGAGGTAGCGGTAGCGGCGGCTGTAAATAGAGCAACACAACGTCAAAAAATGCGTCGCGCAAGAGCACATGGGGAGCGCGCTGCGGTGAAACATATTTCGAAGCGCACCCAAACAACGCCACTAAATGTAGAATTGCCCGTCGATGCGTACGAAGCGCTGACAACGGAAGGCGAAGATTATGATCTAGTGCTCTCGAAATTGCTACAGTACTATCGCGTATGTAAGCACTCACAACCAACGCTAACCCTACGCGGTTACTACGACGAATTACACGCAGCGGGTGTTTTGAGACAGTCACAACGCCATTGGCAGAAAATGTTCGCAAATTTGGCAAGGTATGGCTATGGTGAGCACTTCATTTTTATGCGTGTGCGCCAAGTCAATGCGTCACTACACGAAATTGCCATATTAAATCACTACAAACAAAAGCGGCTTAATTTGACAGCAGAGATTTACGAGGTGCTACGCGCACATACACACAAAACCCGCGATGAGTTGGCAACAGAGTTTCGCGCACTCGAAACGGAAGTGGAAACAGTGGTGAATAATATGTGTAATAATTTGACTACAGCAGCATCAGCATCGGAAGAGTTGCAGCACCAAACGCCTAACGATCAGCCAGTACCGCCAAGTAGCACTGAGGAAGATTGCGATCTCATGGAGACCATAACATTTGCTGAGCTGTCACGCCGTTGCGTTGAAGTAGACTGGCAGCGTTTCATAGGCATGCCGCTCGGACGATACATACAGGCTGACGATTTGGTAAGCGTTGATTCAACCGAGACTGTTTGCCAGTTGGCGCGCTTCCACAACCAACCCAAGCACGCACATATCAATTTTCTCTACACACTGGCGCGCTTTCTCAGCTATCTGCGCCAATTACCACACAATCCTGTGGGCGTGAATGGTAGCAGTGGCGCCATCTGCCTTCGTCATATGCGTAAAACACTCTCCGTTGCTATGACCTACGTATATGATCGTGTCTATTACTCACCTGTGCGAAGTGAGAGTGATCGTGTTATAAACGAGATATTCGCGCAGTTGAAAGCAGAGTTTTCGCGCACATTGACGTTGAATCGTATGCAGTTCGATGCCGATATATTGACGTATTTGCATCAGAAACTCACTTCGATGCGAATTAACTTGGGAAATTTACCACCCACAGTCAACTCATCTTTCTATGTGGATCTCATATGGAAGCTAAATATGAGCAATAACAACTTCTACCGAAATCACTTGCACGCTTTGGCGCACACAAATGGGCACATGAATCGTTTGGTAGCGAGCGCTACCAAAAAGCACACGCGCAGTCCCTGGTATACCTTTAATTATCACGAGCCCTTTTTACCCGAAAGCTTGGATTTAACGCCCAGCTATTATTGCCTTAGCAACATGATTATCGTGCCGCATACCTACCTACAGACGCCATTCTATGACCGTCAGTTTTGGTCAACGCTACTTTATGGAGATCTAGCGAACACGTTGGGCCATGAGCTCATTCATAGTTTCGATAACAACTTTCTCGAATATGACCACGCTGGCAATATGAACGAGTTAATGATGCAACGCATCTTGGCGAATGTGAACTTTGCGCGCAACATTCAATGTCTTAATCAGAGCACAAAGTTCCTCTCTGAACGTGTAGCTGATGTGAGCGGCACGCGCTTGGCACTTAATGCATTCCTTCGCGATCCAGCATACTTGCGGGACAATGGCCGATTATTTTTCCTACAATTTGCGCAATTCTTTTGCAATAATGTTGATGAAGAGATGCATCAGCTGCTAGATCCTACGCATGACTCAGACGCTTTGCGGCTAAACTATACGCTGTCGCAGATGCCGGAATTCCTCGAGGCCTTCAATTGTCCGGCGAGCAGTTCCATGAGTGCGGCATATCGCTGCGAGTTATGGTAGTAAAAGTGGGGTGAGTGGTTACGTTGGGGGTAAAATATGTAAAACATTAGGTAAGCATAACCAAAGTAATTACTTAATAGAATGTACTTAATTTAATATATTTATTAAACAATAATCTCGATTTTCTAAATATTTATGTAAAAAAAATTGCATTTTAAATAATTTTTTTAATGTATTTTTTATTTATATATAATATTACTAGGTTAATTAACAAATCAGAAATATTAATGATAAGAAAAAACAGAAAAGAAAATATAACTAAAAAGATATAAACAAAAATCAAATGAAAAATTAAAAGAAAAAAGAAATAAATGGAAACAAATTTCCGATTGAAAAAAATTTTATTCAAAACATCGAGACTCCGGTAAGTAAAGATCAACATAACTTTGAGACTTGTTGCATTGTGAATATCTGATCCGTGGTAGAATTACCAGACACAAAACCACACCGACAAGGTCCGATCAGAATATTGAATGTGAATCTTCAGTCTTTGAGGGAGAGATGACTGGCAGCTAAGGTAGGGTGCCTCTCCTAGTGCATTGGACGGAATATAATCAGGTTCCAATCGTCATTCGATCATATCTTGAATAGGAACATAAGACGAGGAGGAGAACTTTTCTTCAAAGAACCCAGCTCTAGTTACCATTCACACAACTGAACGATTTGAGTTGAGTTGAGCTGAGTTGAGTTGATGCGGCTGCTTGTCAACGCCAGTACACTTAGGTCAATAGGTCCATTGTGATATCGCTGAGACTCCTGCCTTCACCTCCTCAAATGATTGAACCATATCATGTGCCTTATAAAGGCAACCAAATATCCAATGGCCAGCGAGACAGTCGAAGAAGTGTTTCCCAAGGAACTTGTGTGGCGCGGATGTCAAGGCTGGGCAGTGGCAGAGGTAGTGCTCGATGGTCTTTTCTTCTTCTTCGTCCCTACAAACAGTGTACAGTTATTATACCAGTCGTCATGTTACTGGAGAACTGGTCCAGAAGGATGAGGTGTTTCGATTTTTTCGCATTCTACTCCGGCCATAGCTGTTTGGTCACGTAGCACGTGATCTCGTTCAACCATGTTGAGTCAGCTTCCCAGGTGAAGGTCAGTTTAAGCATATACTTACCCGTGAACAGAGGTAAACCAGCATCGTGCGTGTGGCCACTTTTGTCGTGGTACCGTAACATTAAACAGATCTGTTTTCAGTCTGGCTATCGGAGTAAGTTGTCCTACTGCCGTAGATTTGTGCAACCACTCTATGGCCTAAAAATGCAGCAGTAGTCCGGTATTTTCATGCTCATGCTTACAGAGAGTACGGGAAAATAAATTCCGCAACCCATCTTCCTTCCAATAAAGCTTCGAGCCGTCTTTGAAGATGGCTATTGCTCCATGGACGAGGGCGTTGGTGCTTTCCCACTCGCATCTGTTTGGGATTCTCCTGGAGAAAAGATTACCGTAGCATACATTGGAGGTAGTGTATTCCAGCTACTTCGGCACTTCTACGAGAGATAATATTTTTGCATATCCTTTACTTCATATCTTCCAATGATAAGTTGGATTCAATCTTATTGCGTTGTAACCCGCTTTTAATTTCCCGTATAGGTCCAGAAGAAGGAAGTTGGGAAGAGTTAGCAGAAGTCTCTCAAGTCAATCTCTCGCGGTTGTCATCGATATCGGCAACGCCTCAATTTTCGACAGAAGGTATTTCGTCTTGTGCCCGTTGTATACCAGACCTTCACTTAGCTTCTTTGTGAAGAACTCAGTTTGTGTAGAAGGCACAACTGACGGGCGCGGTTGTCATCGACATGCGGAAGCAGTTACATTGTGTGTAGTCCATGATAATTGTGAGAGCGCACTAAGGTTCTATTCGTCGAGCATGCTTTTCTCCAGCCATATTTTGCAAAGAAGCTGATGCCTGCATCTTTTCAGCGGTGATGTTGAATAAGATTAGACATTAAGTTATCAGCTCCAGCCCATTTGTTGCTCTTTAAATTGGCAATCGCTTTTCAAATCTCGTCATAGTCGGTTTCGGGCTCGCTATCTCCGGGTGTTTGATTTTTTCTGCCTCATTGGTTCTCGTGCATTTTGGTATCTTTATTTTTTTGTATGCAAATGCGTCTTGATTCCCTCTTCAGCTTTCGGTCTATGCCACCGGGCACATTCAGTGGACGATCGCAATGTTGCGATGTAGGTGACCTGTTTTCTCTCCACTAAAGATTGACACTCCTCATCGTACCAACTTTTCTTCTGAATGTGAAAATCCAATTACTGCCATAACTGCGGCACGTCGTTAGGGTGACTTCCACTGTTCCCTTGTCTCACGTTGCTGATGAGTGAACTTAGAAAGCAGGAGTGCAAGTTGGCTGCCTGTATTGGTTGCAGTGTTTCGACGGCCAACCTTCCTTGTGGAGGCGGCTGCCTATCTGCGCTACGACAAAATAGTGATCCGAGTCGATGTTAGCTCCTCGGAACGAACGCACATCTCGAACAATGGAGGCATGCCAACCGCAAATCACAACATTATCGATTTAATAGCGTGATTAGCTATGTAGATATGACAACTATATTTCGAAGCCTGGCGCAGCCCATCAATCTCAACTCCTTTGGAGATGTTTCTTCATGTCCAGAAATACTTTAAGGCCCAGCCTGGCATTGAAGTCGCCAAGCCCAATTATCACTTCGTTAATCAGCTTACATCAAATAAACAGGTAAACTCATGAATGCGAGTTTGTTTTTATATAACGTAGAGTAACAAAGTTTCACTTTGGACTAAAGTTAATTATTTGACAACCATTTACCCCAGGAACATCATGTTTATTACTCATTTCCACTTTTAAATGATTGAACAACTGACTTTTTTTAATAAAAACTTCTATGCAAATATTGCGAAAATATCCAAGCATAAATTTGAAATTTGAAATGTGGAAAAGCATAAAATTTTACGAATAATAATGCTAATAAATGAGAGTGAACATATGATTTTGTAATAGGTATTACAGACAGCCCAAACAGACAGTGAAGCGTCTAACCACATCATATCATTTAGAAGTATTGAAAATTGGTAAATTTCATAAATTCGATAATTGTATGAATGAGCAAACCGAAATGGGATTTTGCGGCAATTATGGCTAAATATTTGTGGCTTTTGGGTAAAACTGATGTACATACGAAAATAAATGTAAATTATGTGTATGAAAATGGCATGAACAGGCATAATGTAGATATTTATATTTTTCACGTGAATGCTTTGTACGATATGCCAGAAATAAGCATTTACATTACAAAATTATAAACATAATATTCTTTAATCATATTTAGGCTAATATATAACAAATTAATGAAAGCGTTGTCAGAAAATGGTAAAAATATGATAGAACGGTGAAAAATGAAATAAAAACGAATTAATATAAGTAAGAATGCAATTGACATAATTAGTAAAATAATTTATTTTACTAAAAAATTACTTCAAAACATGTTATTTGATTACAATTAAATATACAGTTAAGCACAATAATGTTACTTGCTAAATTAACTGGGCGAGAGATAGAAAATTAATTGTATCATATTTTGTTTATTCATTGCAGACAGCATTAATTGGTTTAGTTATTAGTGCATAAACCAAAAAAGATTTAATTGACAAAAGCGCAAAATACATAAAGAGAAACAGTTTATATGAAGTATTACAAGTGGGATACATACATTTGTAAATAACAAACAAAAATCATAGAATTAATTTCTATTATTGAATATATTTATATCACATATTAATACAAATAAAAACCGATTTATAAACAAAGAAATACTAATAGAGAATCTGAGTATTTGTCATTTCATTAAAAAAAAAAAATATAAAAAAATTATTTTTTAAACAAATTAAAACAAAAATATTATCGCACTTTTTTCAGTTTAATTTTGTCTAAATGCAATTACAATCACAAGAATAATTAGCATTAAAATCAATTAATTGTCGCTATGGTTAAATTATATATTAAAATACAAGCTTATTACACTCACACATACACACATATATGCTTATAAAATGTGTTGGTATTTGAAATTTGTTTGCGGTCAAAGTATTTTTATGCCATTTTATTAATATCCCAACAAGAATTAAATTTTAGTGGTTAAAAGTAAAGAAAATAATAATTATAATTGCAAAAATATTAGATTATTAATTTTTTTGAACTGACTCATGTGCAAAAACTCAGGCAAGTGAGGAAAGTTTATGGCTGCCTTCCCTTGAGAGCGGCCGGAAACGGTTCTTTTGCATGTGGTTCAATCAGCTCACGACTTCGGGTCATAGACCACGCATCCTCTCGGCAGCCAAAAAACATCTCTTTGAATGTGAGCTAAAGTGAGAAGGCGAATCTCCCGCGGTTGCGCGTAAGGTATAATAGGAAAAATAAAACCGCTGCCCAGCTGGTTGATGTCTTCGCTGAACTAAAGGTTGGCATCACCGCCGTCCAAGAAGTGCTATGAACCGAGCAAAGAAGGAATGTAGTAGGTCCCTGCGACATTTACTACAGCGGCTATATAAAATAACGTATATTTTTTTAATCGGATTTGTGGTGTGAGAAACTCCGTCACCGAGTACTGTCATTCACTCCGATGATTTACCGTCACAATCCGAATAAAAAACAATTTTTCAACACATTCCTAATTGACACCCATGCTCGTCATAAATGAACGACGATGTGAGCTTTTATGACCCTCTGGAGCAAACTTTTGAGCCACGATATCAAAATTGTGCTTAGCAAATTTAAGCCAAGGTTGGGAAAATGAGATATCCTCGGAACAACAGTCAGATATTTCAGCTTCCACAACGAAGCATTGACGCGATTAACTATCTGGTCGCCGCGAAGAAATGCCTTCACCACACAAGGAAAGTTCTACGTGGGTAAGTTGCTATCACAACGGATAGCCGAATAGTTTTCTACCCAAGCAAGCTTTCCAAAGATGGCATGGCACGTAACTCTTACAAATTGCAGATACATTTTCTCCTTGATTATTTTTTCTGAGCTTTTATTTAAGGCAAGTAATACACTTGGACGGGCAGTCCGCAGTGCTGGTCGGCATCGAACACTGGTCTTCAAATGTAATATGCAAAGCTAATCAATCGAATGT